TCCAATAATTCTGTTGTAATGAGCATGCGTGTTCGAACCTAAGCATGCTCATTGCAACAGCATGCTTAGGTCGGAGAGATCATTACGGGTGAAGATGATGGCTCCCAGGCATTAATGTTGCTCTTGGGCTGGTTTGAATTGACGGAGAAGGAGAATCGTAAACATGATTTACGATTTGCTTTTGAACGCGGACGGAGAATAAAATTGGTGATCTTGGGTGTCAGCCATAGCCAAGGACTAAGTTGTCATTATTGTTTGTTGGAGAGTAATGATCCTACCAGCTGATGTAAACAACCATTCCACAGCAAAGCGCAATTACAGTCAATCAGAGTTGATATGCTATCAATTATTACATGTGTTTTATTAAATTTTGCTCAATCTGTTCATGGATTCGGTTCGCTGTTAAAAACGGATCCGGTTTTTATTTCGGCCCGCGAACGGACCGGGGCTTGGAAGTGGCATTTGCATTAAATTATTATTTAATGATCGTCAAGCAAGTGTTTTGACAAATCTCCCAAATGCTTTTACAGATGGTCCTTCTCGCTCACGCGAGCGAAGAGGTGTGCTCACGTGTGATACGTGTTCTGGCAGGCGCATGTTGCTATCCCTGATGGGTTATCACTGTAACGTTGCCGTCAAAACACAACGCTGGTTGTGGCTGTTCCCACACCAGCTCTTAACAACATCTGATAAATTGCAGAGGTTTCTTTTTTGTGTGTGTGTGGGGGGGGTTCTATCTCCTCTTCTTTAAAATGACAATAAGATCGTATAAACAGAACGGCCCCGTCTCTGTTTGTCACACGGTTGGGTTTATTTATAAACCACCGAAAAAAATAGATATTGTGAGGCACAGACACTTGATGATAATGCATTGTTCTAAGTTGCAAAATGTTAATGTGCAGCCTTGCAATTGCTTTCTCATGCCACTGCCGGCACCAGGGCGTCCACTCGACGATATAATTTTTGCCCACTCTTCCAGGCTGGCCGAACGTCTCGGGAGATGTGGGAGTACCAACGCTTTACCCCGCCGCATGCGACGCATCAATTGACTGACAGTGGGGTGCGTCCGTCTATGCTGCTGGTTAGACAGAGTCGGGGAGGTTGGTGTGGAGATTAAAAATGTTGCCCGACTGCAACGCCAGGAAATTGATCTAGTGACCTCTGGATTTGCAAGTGCTTGCGTGGATACCGTCATACAACGGCAGCACCCATTCTACATTGTACAAAAAACAAAGCACGCTCATCGACGGTACTGCCTTGACTAAAAAATATATATAATTGGCGACGTTTCGGGCAACGGCCCTTCATAGCACGCAAAACCGAGACGTTAGAGAGAGTTAACAAGGGTCGGAGACTGCACTTAACACACCATTGTACAGCATGGCATATTTTTTTTTCTGATAACTTAATAGACATTCTCATTTTAACGGTATTAATTTACTTATATTTGCCATTATATGGCGCAATTGCCACAATTAGTTTACTCGGTTGAACCTGGCTCACTCCACACCATCTCCTGAGACAAGATCGCAATGCCATCTTCCTTTCCCCGCGAGAAGAAACAAAGTAGTGAAAGCACAACTTTTTCTCGAGCAGAGGCCTCACACATGACTACGTCATAACGGGATGCTAACCTCAATGAGCACCAATTCACCGCGCTCATCATGCACGGGTGAAACACAGAAAAGCACAACAAAATGACAATTCAAAGAGGAACCCTATAGCACACAAGTGATAATATTGGTCCATTCATTGCATGTTTAGATACGAGTGGTTTTAATCATCTGTGGTTAATCAACTTCCATGGAGAGCACCCGCACACACCCCCCACCACCACCCCACATGGATTCACCAAGCCCTCCCCAATGCTCTCAGCTGCCTCTGGGAACGAAAATAAAGGCTCTGGCTTCCATGTGTTTGGAGTGCAAACATCTCCGTGTGCTCAGCTGGGCCATTTGGATGTGAGTGATTGCATATGAGACAGTGCTGTGGGGTGAGACCTGAGATTTTAAAAGGATAAAGAGGTCCTTTAATGATAATGCCTCAAAACCAAAGGAGGCACGCGTTGCAGAGGATGAACCTGGCGATATGGCATTCGTGCAGTTGCAGTCACTGTTGGGATTTTGTTTTATTTACAAGGAATTTTTTTGTTAAGCCAATCTTTGGTTTTGACTGAGTATATGTTCCAAAAGGAGGTAAATATTGAAAATGAATATGACAAGAGGTTTATGAAAGTAAACTGCAGTATCGATGCTACTGGAAAGTGCACTCCATAGTTTAGTTGGAGTGATCTTGCCGATAACATCTGGTAACCCAGCAGCACTTCATAATTAAGGTTTTTTGGGTTAGATCACATAAATATAAATGTGTCTAATAACCTACCACCACCCTACACAGCCAGTTAATAAGGTATGTCACATAAACAAAACGTGCCAATAAGTTACTACTTCAGGCCGCCAGTGTGTGGAGAGTACATTTTTCAACATTTACAATTTGAGAACGATGTTTCGAAATGCTGACTGCTGATGAAACCGATCCACAGTTTTCCCGCTTCGACAAATGCTGATGGATATATTTTTTTTCGAGAAAGCCGTTCGATGGAATAAATCAAGATGTTATTTTTACGCGGAGACACAGAACGGAGTTGTGTTCTATGCCTTTGCAGCTGTAGGATCGCACACAGGTGTGCATTTTCTTTTTAGTGTCCATGCACTTTTGTACCCCTGTGAAAAAATCTGCAAACGCACCCCTGTATTATGTGTTGTGTTATGTAATCCCCATCAAAAAGTTGGGTAGCCAGTTTCAAACACTTCAGTGCGTGTCAAAGACCCAGGTCTAGTTAAGTCCGGGAATATTTCTCACTGCTATGTAATGTTCTGGCTTTAAAAAAAGAAACGAAACAAGCATTTCACATTATTGGTTCTTTCGGTAAAGTCACGTAGAAGGGAAACAATAAAATGATGATTGCTTGTGTTGCAGTCGAAACGTCGTGAGAATTTTATTGTTTTATATTTTTATTATTTTATTGTTTCCCTTCTACGTGACTTTACCGAAAGAACCAAGAATATGAATCCCTGCAGTCACGAAAGCTTTAAATCAAAATTTAAACATTTCACAATTGTAAAAAAACAGGTCATGAAGGTGGCGTTCAAATCGGTTTTATCTCCAGACATAATGCCTGGTTAATAACTTATTATGACCAATATACCCTTCTCCTGTTTTACCATCTTTATATTTTACAGCAATGTCTTGAAACGTATAATTGGGGGAGAACATTTTCTATGAAAAAGAACGGCAAAACACACAATCTTTCATTCAATGCACAGACAAAAAAAAACAACACCCAGTGGGGGTATCCACAAGAATAAAAAAAAAGAGATTAAATCTGTAACCAGCATTGCCGCTTTTTGCCGGCACGAAACAGTGTGCCTCTGATGTTGGGCAGCGTGGAGTCAACACGAGTTGGGCCCATCGCCAAACAAGATCGTGTCTCCCTCCCCATACTCGTGCTCAGCACGTCGTGTTACACAGACAGGAGGAGGCTCACGCTGCGTGCTCACTGTGTCCCTCTTTGATGATGCTGGCGTGTTTGGGAAAGCCCCCCAGGCTCTCAGCTTTCATCTCACCTCTATCACTTTGCGCCACCAAAGTTTAATTTAGCGTCAAGTGTTTTGCCTTGTTCATCTTTTTTTGCCATGAAGTATGACTGCGCACGCGTGCCCTCTCTGTGCATATTTTTTTCATTTCTATGTCGGTCTCTAAAGTAAGATCATAAGTAGTTGGAATAGTGGGCTCTGTTTTAACGCTAAAACAATGGCCATTGCGTGCACAATGTAGTGTTTTAAACTTGCTACTTGGCGTGTACTATGCATAGTACACGCAACTAAAAAAAAACCTCCTATGGATGATATTGGCCGCGACAGCATACGTGTTAAACTCACAAGGTACAATGTCAGTGGTGTAGTTTTTTGTTGTCATCAATGCCGGCACTCAACTTAAATGTGTTGGTAGGGTTATGGATTTAATCGCTGGATTTCCAAATAGGCGAGCCTGGCCTGCGTGTGATCGAGTGGCAATTTTATTTGTGCACACGGCAGCGTTGGCTCACTCGGCACGTGTCAGTCACTTGAATCTGGGAGCTTATCAGGTTACCTAATAAGGATGCTTATCCTCCTCTCAAAAAATTATCTTCACTTTGTTCTTTGTCCGCGTTCCATTCCATCCAGACACTGACTGTGCTTCCATTTTGAAATGAGACCCATGGAATGGCCACGCTTGCTATAGACTTATCTTCTCCTCCCACAGAAGCTCAACGCAGAACAAAATGTCTCTCGTAATGGGCTGGTCAGCTGGCAATTCAAACTTGTTTTGTGCACTGGTCAGACTGACTGCCATTCTCTGGCTTTTATTCGCAGTGTTTGCCAATGCTGACTGAATGTGACTTGGCGGCTCTTTGTGTAAATTACAGGGCCCTGCTGCCTAGCGACCGGTTCAATGAATAGGGAAGAAGACTTCATCTCAGGAATCCAGAAGACTTGTTTAGAAGGAATAGTGATGGGACAACGGGATTTAACTTCCGTGGTGAGCATCTTTTAGAGGTAGCAATTTGCTGTACATTAGCAAAGTGGGTTTTGTGCAGACTTAATTATAGCCTGGGGCTGATGAAGGTACATTTTAGAAGTGTGTGTCTCTCGCACACAATCCTGGTGGCGTTTGATGAAGGTTGTTGGATAAGCACAAATATATTCAAGCGTCTGTTTAAAAGAAAACTAATTTGATCTTATTGATGAGTCATAAAAGGTCAAGGAAATTCTTGTTATGCAGTTAATATTCATAATGACAATTTACAGCCTTGGATTAAGGCCATACCACAATATGTCAGTGATGGGAGTTGTTTGATCATATTTTATCACACTGGTCAGTGAAGGTTGATGAGGGGGGTGGTGGGGATGTGGGTAGTTGGGGGGAGCGTGGGTGGGGGAAGTGGAGGGGAATTTCCCAGAATAGTTCAAATACGACCCACCTATGGTGTTGTCAGTGGCCTGGAATTGAACTCGGGTCTCTGGCATTATAGTGCAATGCGTCAACTACTTTTCCGCTTCTCAATCCCTGCAATATGAAGACCTTTTGAATCAATGGCATGTGCCAATATAATTATCCAGGCATAATACATTAGCACGATGACATAATGCCACATTAAGATAGTAGGTCTTCATTTGATCATTTGAACGTACTGCTCTTAGGCTGGCGACACTCATTTTACGCCAGATCCGTCGGTGTGAAGGCAATGGCAAAAAGCACACCGACACACTGCCCCTATTCGCCACCAACCTCTCCTCCCTAGCCCGACAAGGACAGCATGCGTACGCACGGGCACACACACGAGCACACGCAAAGAGAGCGGGCGGGGCCTCTTCATAACGGAGTGTGTATCAAGTGTGGTTGACGCTTGGACCCATGCCCCATCTGATTGCCATGCAGCACACAGAGGCTGTGCAGTTCTCTCCATCACTGGGAGACTTATGGCTCGTAATTAAGTTCTTGGCAGCTGAGAATTAGGAATTCGAAGATCCTCTGATTTTTTTGTGTGTATTTGGATGAAACACAATGCTTTAAATTGTGGATTTTCATTGTTCTTTCTAACATGTTTTTTTTTACAGGATTATGAGCACACTTTGTTAGTTAAGACAAAGTTGGCTATAATACAGTGTACTATTGATTGATTTCTGTTTAATGGACAAACAATACGGACACAGTACTGTGTATTGAAAGCGCAATATGAGCACGTAACTTTGTCCCAACAACCTCATTTGAATTAATCATGCTACCTGCACAATTCTTGTATTCACGGCGCATTCCACAAACTGCTCTTCTACATTATCATTTTCAAATTGCTATCACTCAAGTATTTGGCCTTTACGATGAGAAAATTGTTCCGCATATATTTTCCAGACAAAGTAATGCACTCTTATAACATTTACAGTGGCAAGCATTGTAACACAACGTGTAAAGTACCACCGACTGAAAGGCCTGCATACAAGAGTAACGCTTAACTCGCTGGACTGGCAATTCACGTGTCGCCGATTCTATCTCCTGACAGACCCATTGAAACAATGGGCAAGTTGATTATATACCTCCCACTACTGCTTGTCCACCCAGCAGTAGGAATGGGTAAGCCGCAGTCGATCAGCAGGTTGGTTACGGTGGGTTCTCCCACCTTTGCCAAGGTGTCTAACCAGCTTAGAATCGTAGGCCAAAGGCCCTCTTCTCGAGAGCTCCCCCAAGTCTCCGGGAGGCCCTTTTGCCAATAGCATCGTAAGCAAGCAGTTTCAGGGCTGCACCTTTAGCTTTCACAGAGAAGTGAAGCCGTCTAAGTTTTGGTTCATGCATATTACTTGTTTTCCATCACGACCCTGCGTATGTGTTTGTCACGCAGTACAAAGGTTACGCCAGATTCGTCACTGCTGGAGGCTAATTTTAAATTGCTCCCTGCTGGCCTTAGAACCCTCCTTGAGGTATTGAAAAGATAGATATAGTATTTAAGAATCGCACGTCTACCTATCACAAACTAACCATACATGAATGAATCCAGGGAACATTTATTAAGGTGTTGTTTTTACGGATCTAATAATATGTCCCTTCCTGATGTAATTATTTGAATTCATGGTCACAATATCATTCACAAATCTTTTTTTTACTAGCGGCCTCTAGCTACTGTAGAAGGTCACGTGAAACTGTTATATACAACATTTATTTTAAAATTCAACAAGGAAGAGTATTAGACCTGCACGTATAATTTAACTTAATTTCGATAACGATCAGTGTTTTTATACGTCCTTATTTTACCCCGATTTTATATTTTTTTGCAACTCACAGTACTTGTAACCACGAGTGATCTGCGCCCCCATTTTTGGCTTTAGCATCACATTCCATGGCAGGTGAATTACTAAAGTGTGCTGATGGTGGGGGATGATATATTCTGTATGGGTTTAGCAAAGTAGAAATGTAAACAGAGCCTGTCCTTTGACTACCCTATAAGTAAAAATATTGACTCAAATGTTTTTATTCTATTGTTAAAATTTCGTCAGTTATAATTAAAGGTGTGACTGTACTATATTTATTTAGACAATATAGCGATTACAGCACTCAAGGAACATTCCACTATGAAGTACCTTCCACGTTAAAATATTTTTTGTGACATTTTTACACATCAAAACTCTTCCCATTCAAAGAAACTTGCCAACAACCATCCACATATCCATCAAACACTGATCTTAAAACTGAAATAAATTAGTGTGTAGTTATATGCGTTGAAAATGTACCGGTCGGATTAACTCTTCCAAGACTGGAATACTGAATAATGTGAATGCAATGGAGATGTAATATACGAGTTTAAGAAAAACTTTACAAGCTAACAACCTTCATGGGGGCATTTTTTAGGTCCTCGTTTCTCAGTGCCAAAAAGTATTATATTGCTTTTGCTGGGTATGTGTGTAATCATGTTTAAGGAGCTTTATCCATCGCCACTGAAACACGGGAGCATCAACTTTGTGGTGAACGCAGTCATGCACATTCGTTTGATGGCACGGTTTTATCGTACTTACTCCAAACTCCCTCACTTCAGCTTGCACAAGTAAAAAGAACCCCCGTGTAGCCTTCGCAGGCTCTTGGAGCAAGTGCTGTCAGTGAGCACCAATCAAGGCTGGGCATGGCACACGAGGGGCACACGACGGGGTGGGAAGCCAACACCATGCCTGGCCACCTTTGTCTCCCCAGCGCTGACGTTTCCACACCAAGGAGAGGCCCTGGACCGATTAAAATAGTCGCCACTGTTTTTGGCCTTGGATGGGAATCGAACTCAGGTGGGCCGCGTCCGTAGTCCAGTGCGTACGTATGTAATGCACCCTGGCTCGCAAACATACACACACATGCAATCGTCTTTAATCCACCACCTCGTTCCGGCAAAATGCAAGAGTTAACTTGCTGCTGAATACCTCCGTGGCTTAAGCAAAGTAGCTTGTCGCCAGGGTATAGCTTTCCCAAATGGATTTCGTTCACAGCAAAGAAGAAGAAGAGAGAGAGAGAGAAAAACCAGAGACCAAAAAACGCACTGGCCAAAGTCCATTCAGCTCCACCCCGTGTTGGCTGGGAAATACCTCGGGTAACAGATTAGGGTTCGGTCTTGTGATCATGCGAGGTTCGTTTGAACGCACGTGGAAGTGAGGTTTTTGGGGGAGCGCTTACGCGTAGCGCACGTTTCACGTTCGGTCCTCGAGCGCGCTGTTGGTGCAACAGGAAGGTGTGGGTGGAGGGGGTGGAGGAGGTGGAGGAGGAGGTGGGGTGTGTTTAGTCACACGCGGCCCTTCACGAACTAACGCTTCGCCAGCAGTCCCGCACTCTCTGCACACATTGCCGATTGTTACGGGCCACAAAGAAAGGTCGCCTCCCCCCCCCGATCTCGTAAATATGTCAAACGAGGGGGAGTCTACCAAAAAAAATGATACCGCCACTTTGTGGACGGGGGGGGGGTAAGAATGTTTGCCGGTGCTTTCAAAGCACTGGCAGCCTTTTCGTGCATTTCGTCGGTGCAATGTTTGTGGAAAGGTGCTAATGCAATCAAGTCACAATGCGCACGCTGCTGCTGCTGCTGCTCCTGTGAACATTAGCAATGGTTTTGTGTTCTCTGACAGCGTGCAATGCTTCCAGGTAAAGCAGTGTTTGCTGGTTCCAACGTAGAATTGTTATTTGTTTTTTTTTTCCAGTGGGTTTCGTACTTTCCTTTAACACGTAAACAAATGGAGTCGCCTCCGTGCTCGTGTGTGTAGGGGGGGAGGGGGGGAGGAGCGGTGGTGCAGTGGTTAGCGCACTGCTCAACGAAAGCCGCTCGCGGCCAATACGAGTTGACAATTCTATTATCTGATCCGGTCTTGGATCTCCCCGAGGTCGGCTCGGCCTCAGAAAAAAACACCCGGCGTGTAAACATCACAAGACAAAGGCGCGGTGCTGGCCACACACCCCCTCGTGTGCCATGCCGGCCTTCACAGGTGCTCACTAACAGCACTTTTTCCAAAAGTCTGTTTAGGCTATACGGGGGGTGGGAAACTTTACTGTACGTACAGATGTGCAGAGCTCTTACGTGCTACGGTCGGTGAAAATGGCATGCAGGCGCATTTGCGATGTGTACGTACCCATGTGTGCAGTGTTTCCGAACCGTTGCGGGTCGAGTGCTTAATGCATTCGAAGTGAATTGATGCTACGGGATCAGCGGGGTGTCAGCGCCGTGGATCACGTTTGCGCCTCGCAGCGAGCAGGGCACCGGATTCAATTTCCCGACTCGAGCACCATTTCTGTATCGAGTTTTGTACATTCCCTCCCTGATGCGCTCGGGTCTCCTCCAGAGTTCTCCAATTTCCTCACATCGCTAAGACAACTCGCAATGAAATTGGCGATTGACCGAACATCCTGGCAGAATCTTGCTGGAATAAAAGATGGGAGGTTGTCTGGCCAATTAAGCGGAGCAAGAAGCATGCGTGTTCAGTGCAGCCCTGTACGCCTGTGAGGGACTTAGACATTTAAAAAAAAGACTGACAGAGATAAGATACTGGCACTCGACATGTATTGCTACAGAAGGGTACTGCATCTGAGCTGCACACAAAGAGTGATCGACGTAGAAGTAAGAAAGAGGTTTCACCTGATGCGGGCAGTGATGAGAAATGAACTGGCACCATTTGGACCCACATGTAGGATAAACAAGAGCAGGGAAATGAAAAGTGAGTCCTGAAAAATGGAAGGAGCAGGGTAAGAGAGGAAGACCTCACAGAGAATGTCTTGGCGACAGAAGAGATTTGGTGCCAGAAAGATGTTGCACTTCTTGACCATATTGGCACAAGACGGAGAGGAAACTGGAAACAAAATGACGAAATGTGCAGTGGATACCCACGGGCTATCTGCCCATGAATCGTGGTTATGATGATGATGATGATATTACACAAATAACACCGCAGTATATGTGATGGATGTATGTGCAAGCATGTCCATTGTGAGTACATGCAATATGAGTACATACATGCTAAATCGTGCGTATTGATTTCACTAGACACACAACAGTGAAGCGTGCACTTACAAGTAGCTCATGCATAGCTGACAACTGTCAATGTAAACTGCTTATTTTCTGGTGTATATTAAAAATACGTCAATGATGAAATGTCCACATGTGACTCTAACTTACAAATGGTGTCATGAACTTCATGTACTTTGTAACATGTATCAATGTGTGACTGTTTATCTTATTGCTGTTTTACTCTAGGCCCATTGATGTACGATCATGCTATTACATTGTGTGTGGTTAAAAATGTCATCAGCATGACATGGAAAGCATTCGTTGTGAATGTTCTGTTTTGAGAACGTGGTGTCGTCCATTTTCCGTTGAACAATTTAATTTGTTGAATAGTTAATTGTCTTTAACGTTATATAGTGAGGAATAACGTTAATCTCGGCAAATTATTCCATTGAGCTTATATTTCCCTGTTTAGGTGAGTTTTTCCATTTCGTTGATTCACTTGACATATGCGGCCGTCCCAATGATGCCCCCCCCCCCCCATACATAGCCGCAGCTGGGTACAGCGTGGGAACAAATCCCTGGGGGACTTAATGAATTGCTCACTCATTGTGCCTGACCTTTGTATCTGGAAGGCACTGAGGGACATCATGAACTCGCTGAGAATCGTTTCTCTACTTCTGCAACTGATTCATGGCACCTCCGATTGGCACCTCCCCATTGGCACCTCTCGATTGGCACCTCTCGATTGGCACCTCCGATTAGTACCTCCGATTGGCACCTCCAGATTGGCACCTTCCGATTGGCGCGGTTAGCCAACCGCGGTTGGCCAACCGCGCCAATCGGAGGTGCGGGGACAGGACGACAAACTAAACACAAAAATAAATTCTAAACAAATGAGTTTTCAATCGAGACTGAAAAGTGCATAGCTTCAGAGGCTTCCTCATAATCTGACAAAAGAGCATTCCAGACGGCCACAGAAGCGCATCTGAAAGCGGGCAATACGCTAACTAATTTTTTCGATGGCTAGCCAAAAGCCGCTGAAATTGGTACTCATGTTTGTTCCTTTCGCATTACGTTGTTTTTTTTTAGATTAGCTACACGGAGTACAATACAACTATACAGAAACAATCTACATTCCTACTTTTTGCAAATGTTAAAATTGCTCGACGCGCCTCAGTCCACAGCAACTCCTAAATCCCACGGTGGCTAATATTCTGACATATGCACTACACCGTACTTGCAAAGAAAGCTGCAAGTTGTGTTAATTTGTGTGTGTGCGTCATGAATGGCAAGTCTAAGTAAATCTCTTTTAATCTCAAATATTGTTACATTGTGCCCAGCTACCATGGTACCAGAACTCAACATTTCCTGAGATCTGGTCCTTGTACCCTAACATGTTCCCCATAATGCTCTGCCAAATATAGACCTCTTCCAATCATTCATATTTTTAAGTATTGAAGTGAATATCGTACTGAAGTCGAACTTGTATTTATCTTTGTTGCTCTGTCTCTCTTTCTCCACGTTTCCATCTGGCCGTGCGTGCTCTCAGGCCTCTTCCCGGCCATCCTGAACTTGGCCTCCAATGCCAAGATCCATGCCAATGCCACGTGTGGTGAGAACAGCGCCGAGATTTTTTGCAAGCTGGTGGAGCACGTGCCAGGCCGGCCCAACCGCAACTCACAGTGCCGCGTCTGCAACTTAAACAGCCACATCCCTGACGGTGGGTTCACCAATTGCTCATCGTTAAACACACAAGTCGTCCACGTATGTTGCGTGCATATATGGTGTGCAACGTCCTGCATCTCACATATCCGCCCTGACGCATTCGCAGCTTACACCAGGTGGTGTAAAACTGTTATTTTCTATAGATGTTCACTTAGTTCTGCATGTCTTTTATATACAGATTTACGACATACCGAATCCATTTAAATGTATTCTACTATTGTTTAGTTTTTTAGTTTATTGTAATCAACATCAGTTTGAAACAGGTAGCCAGAAGATGGTACTACAGAAAATAAGGCTTGAATATGTCTGTGGAGTTTTGGAGTGTTACCCCTGGTATATGTGGGTTTTCTCTTGGTTTACTCCCACATGGCAAATCGAGTTTTATGGTTTCGAGGTTATTTTGATTTGTTAGCTCGGCTATCTTACAAGGGAGATCAGTGGTCCCCCTTGAGCAAGAGGCACCAGAAAGTTCAGCACAGGTACAAGTAAGCTCTGCATCTTGGTCTCATAGGGGAATAAAGAGGGGGAGTGAATTGAGGGAACTCAGCTGTAGATGGGCAGCAGGGGGGTTCCAGAAGCATCGAGCAGCAACGCCAAACCTCCCAATACAGGACTCCAGAAGAAAAATAGTTTTGAGATGGATCTAGGCTTTACTGGGAATATACAAAAAATATATATTTCATGTTATTACCAGGGCAAAGAATTGCATACGGTATCATGCTCATGCGAGCAAAAATGATATTTAATCATAAATTGATCTCAGCCCATGGTGAATTTTATATATACAGTAAGTGCCGCTTTAAGTCATTACAGCATGACATGTTAAAAGGTACATTGCCTTCCTCTTCTGTGAAAAGAACAAAGCAGAGCCAGATAATGCCATGTCTATTGATGTCCCGAACTATACGCGTAGTGTTTAAGCCTTTCTGCATGGCGCACAGACAGGAAACCGCCACGCTGCATCGTGGTCACAATTTGTTTCGCGTGTTTTTATTCTGACCGCAGAGCGCCACCCCATTACAAACGCAAATGACGGCACCAACGGCTGGTGGCAAAGCCCGAGCATACAGAATGGCAGAAAGTTTCACTGGGTCACCATCACGCTGGACCTGCAGCAGGTGAGACATCGATCATTACTGCCACGTGGGGGGGGGGGGGGTTCGTTCTCTTCTTATCTTCTTCCTCCCGTGGGTGCACCGCAACAGCTTCCCGATGTGACGTACGGCTCGTGCCACTTGTTGTTCGGCGTTGTGTCCGTTCACACGTGGAGCGAGACGCCGGGCGCTGTGGCGGACTTACCGCGGCACTCCCCAAAACGCACCGGAGAGAGTTGTGTGAGCATCAAGGGTGCCTGCACCTGTCATGGGTCGGAGCCAGATTACACTTTGCCGGACAGTTAAGAGGGCAGCCAATGAGTGATGTTGATATTTTTAATCTGCTGTTTATAATCGGAAGTAACAGCATTCAGTGAAACTGCTGAGACATTAACAAATTGGCCATGCACGTGTTTCATGGATTGATTGATTGACTTTATTTGTTTACGTGGGTGAGAAATATTCAGCCTTAAGCTGTTTTACAAGAATGACTTGCGGAGGATTTTGATTTGGAGCGCAGCAGAGTTGAGCCTGGTATCGGTACTTGCATTGGCGACTGCCGGTGAATAGCAGGTGTTGAAGGTTTGGGCTGTGAGAGGTGGCTCTGAAATGTCAGAAACAGAAATGGATTCTTGAAACTCTCTGCGCATAGCTTTTAGTGGTATTCCCTTGTAATGGTTTATTTTTATCCGGGCACGTGCCCAACACTCGTTTTTGGAATTGGCCAAGCATTCCAAAGGGCAACCCACCTGTGACAAGTAACTTATATGATTATTGTAAACAAATGTATAGATTACTTTTCTCATTTTTCCAGCCTATGTGTAATATTGTGGTTACCTATTAAGCTCTCGTCTGTTTTACGGATTTGGCTAAGGTGTTACTCACAGCAGTCCTGGTCTCAATTCCACACGGGATCAGCAAAGGGGGACCATCTTAAGAGTGTTTCTCGGCCATCAGGGACTGGAGCTTCATCTTTAGGTATTAATTGCAATGCTTTAGGGTTTGACCGAGTGAACCATGTGGCTTCAGTCGTATATTTTAGAAGATTAATGCAGAGATTGACTTTTCTCCAATGTCACACTTAATGAGAGTCACGCGCGTGCTTTAACTACCATGAATCCATTAAAGTTCACTTATTTTATCATTCACCTTCAGTTTTTTTTCAATTTCCTCAGCAGTATGTGAGCAATGACTGCATACCAAGCTTCACTCCTCCTCCCTCCCCCACTACCATACAATCTCACTGATCAGGGAGTTATCCACTAGCGTAGCGGAGAACTACGGGCCAGTTTCGCATAGATGCAGGAATCGTGTGATATTTAGAGGCGATGATGGCACGCAGCATGCCTGCTGTTAAAGATAAAGAATTGCTAACATGGTGGAAACAAATCGGCAAGCTTCACGGATAGGCGGTTCACAATTTGTTCCTGATACACTTAGTATTTAGTCGGGAAGGCCTCGCCGAGCCTCGTGACTTTTTGTTCAGGTGCATCTTGCCAAGTGTTGCAGCATCTATTATTGCAAACAAGTAATTTTAGGGTAATTGATCACATTCAGAAAATGTGGACCTTGATGCTGGCACACAATTATTGCACGTATTTTGTTAATGGTTAACTAGCAAGCCACACATTTTGGATGTTGCTGCACATCCATCTCTCCAAGTTTGCCAGCCAGCAAAAATGTACTCTTATATAAAGCCCTGTCTCTCTCCACCGGTATCTTGCCTTCTCTGTACTGTATATCACAATTTATCTCGATTTATCGTTTTTTCTTTGTATCTGGTACTCAATTCCTCTGCCCCCTCGCCTCCCTCCACTTGCCTCTCCTTATCTATGTGTCCGTTTCCACCTCTCACCTCTCACCCTCCATCATCCGCACTCTCCCTTTCCCAGCTCAATCTCTCTTGCCTCCCCCTAATCCTCCCTCCCACTGATTATTATTATTGTCGCTTTCCCTCTGCTCTCCTCTTTCCATTTTGCTCTCTCTATTTCCTCTCCATTGCAAGCCCTTTGTCTCCCCGTCCCTCTCCTCCTCCTATTTCCCTCACTCCTCCATTTTCCCACCTACGGCGCTCCCTCCGTTGTTTTCATTTAGTATGGTAGTACGATCGTTTGACAGTGATAGGTGACAGCATAATAGAGTGTGCCGCACATTTGTGTGGGATACGCATCCGGGGCGGAGCACGACACACACGAACTCGGCTCGACGCCACGGGATGCGGGAGAGATCATCGTGCACGCAACACTTTGAAGCGCGGCACCCAGTCGGACAGGAATCCACCCAGGTCATCCGGCCCGAAAACGTTTTTTTTGTTCTTCCTCTTCTTACTGCCGCTGGATTCGAACCCACGCGAACCTTTGCGACGAGCGCGCTACCGGGCTCGGCCACGTGACGACAAGCGGCGTTTTGACACCCGCCACGGACCGATTCCATTCGGGGTCCCTGGTTCCCGGCACGATCGCCGGCGAGTTGGTGACCGAGCGCCCGTCGTTAACCCCCGGGGCTGATTGCAGCAGAAGCAGCCTCCAGCCCTCGTGATGGAGCTGTCGAGGCTCGTTAGCGTGACGGTCGCGCGCGGACAGGCGGCCAGACTCGGGCCGACGGGCAAGGTGGGAGTCGTCCGATTAGCGTCTCGCGACGGGGACCGTTCCTCACACGCGCTCTTTGTTTGTCTACGCTTTTTTTATAATAATAATCAAGGAATTTAACATAATGAAAGTAGAAATAGCGCGTTTGCTTCAATCCCTCCAGGCCTTTGTGGAGATATACCTTACGTATAACTGCATCGTCCACGTGTTCTTTGGCAATGAAGTAGTTGATTGAAGGAGATTGAGCAATATTTTTCTTTGTTCCAATTCCAGGGATACATTACACTTTTTCAATGGTCTATTTTGCAAACTACTATTATTATTTCGTATCGGTTTACAATCGAAGAGGATGCTTCCACAGCAGTGCGGCGGGTTACGCACTGGACTTGCAATCCAGAGGGTCGCCGGTTCGATTCGACCTCCCGGCGCGGCAGTTTAAACAATGGGCGACTTTAGTAAAGCCTCTGCCCGGCTCGGCATTATGCATGGGCGCATCACAGTCAATCGATCGGCAGGTCGTATGCAGCGGGGTCAAGTGTGCGTGCACCCACCTCTTCCAAGACGTTTGACCGGCTTCGAAAAGTAGACCAAAATTCCTTCGCGAGCTCCTAGGGGAAGCCCTTCTAATTGCCAAGCTGCACCTTTACCTTTTAAAATAAAGCACTGCTCTTCACGAATTTTAAGATGGGGGGGGGGGCACTTTCGCCAATAAGACATCGGTATGAGGCCCCCCCCACACATTTGAAACAATTTGGTTTGACAGCGCGACAATGAGGGGTGGTGGTGGTGGTGGTGTTTTCACACTTTGTGTATTGTGGGGGGGGGGGGGGGGCACGTCAGGGGCCGCACTAAAGGCCACCGGGTGGCCGCCAATGGCCCGCGGGACTTGCGATGAAGAAACACTGCGAGGAAAGGCTTCGCTAGCTACGGTAGTTCCGAGTGTAATAGAAGAACACAAATATTCAGTCATTTGTCAAACAAGAGTCGGTTGTGGTTTGTTCATTGGCACTGCAGGAAAACCAAAATGTTGTGCTCTATTTATCCCATGATAAAGGAGGAACGGTGACCACACACACACACCACACACACACTCCACACACGCACATTACACGCACACCACACACGCACACCACACACACGCACACCACACACACGCGCGCGCATACCACACACACCACACACACACCACACACACACACGCACACCATACACGCACACCACACACACGCGCGCACACCACACACACACCACACACACACCACACACACACACGCGCGCACCACAGCTGTGAACGGCTGAGAAGGAAACATATCAAAGACCTTGAGGGCGCCTACCCCCCCCCCCCTCAACATTGACTTTAAACGGGTTAGCAAAACGATGTCGTTTTTGAGAGCATTAAAAAAAACATCAAACCGTGACTTCATTGTGTCCCGTGTGACCTGATGCTGCACTTGACTGAAGGGAAATTTCGGCTGTCATGATGGTAGGGGCCGAGTGCGCTAGCCCTTTGTTCCATAGTGTGATTGTGCCAGTGGTTCCTAAAACATAGGTTTTAAAAAAAAAAGCTTTTTGGTGCTTATAGCATAAGAATGTCTTCGTTATACATTGGGGCTTTGTTGTAAGTGATTGTAGATCGTGTGGCACCTTCACTATCAACACCAACACCTCCATGAGGGCTGAGGTCATTTCGGCTCGTCTGCTCTTAATTCACAGGGCAAGCCCACACAATAGTCACCCCCAAGTTATTGCAGCAGCAGCAGCAGAAACGCGGTATCTTTGCTGCAAAGACATTAAATGAAAAACTTGGATATATTAAATAATACTGGACTCATTATTGCGATTCCCCCCCCCCACCCCGACCAGAGATACATTTTTTAATGAGCATTCGCATTTCATCGATTTCAAATTAATATGACATTTTCATAGCAGGACTATTACCTGCAATATCAGCGGGTATATATTTGTTGACTCTTAAGGGCAGTGTAAATTATCATTTTTTTATGTGCGTGTATCACGGCCAACACAGTATCACACTTCATACTTTTTTTTAATTCTAAACATCGCATTTTATATCCTAGAAAACAGGAAAGAAAGGGGTGGACGGAGTAATCTAACCACGAGCAAAACACGAACGCCGGTTCCCCGTTCCTTTTTGCGCCGCAAAAGCCTCGCACCAATCGCGCGCCCAGCGAGGACGCACGACGCTGCCGGTGTCGCCACTGCGGAGAGTTTTCGGCCAATCGACTCGCTGCAGAACGGTGCGGCCTGGGAAGCTGGCGAAACCTCGGCGCCTGCAATCCGTCTTCTTGACGGTGGTTTTTAATTTGATGTCCGCCCTCTCCAGTCCCCCCCCCCCCCCCAAAAAAAAATATAAAGGGAGATGGGGGGGGGGTGGAAGGCAGAAAGGGCTTGGCGTGCTCTGTGTATTACACCGCG